TGATGCTGCAGCCCCAGAAGGACGGGCCTGTGCAGTCTGCACATCACCTATGAGTGCCGGAAGTTCCTCAGTAAATCGCTGTTCTATAAAATTATACCATGATGTATTAGTCTACAGAAGGATGGACTTTGCCGTGTCAGAGATGAGTCTAAAAGCATCATTACTTTCCACCGAACCAGTGGGCCTTTATTTGGAAACAAAAGATCCAACAACTGTGGATAAAACATAAGCCAAGACCTCCTGTCTCCCCTGAGCCCCAGTGAGAAAGAAAGGGGGGACGTACCTAGTAAGGAGGGAGGGAACGGAAGGGTTAGGGGGATTCTGGAGAGGTTTCTTACCTTTCCAAGAAGGATACTGAGAGAAAAGAATGATTTCTGATGATTAAGGGTGGGACGGAGGAAGGATGTTCTAGTCCTTCTGCCTACAGGAGAGACCCAGAACAAATTGTTCTTTTTATCTGTGCGGGGTGGTGAGACAGCATCTTTGTTCTTAGGGTCTTAAAAAGTATTGTACTGGGACGCCTGGGTGGCTCAGTTGGTTGGACGACTGCTTTCGGCTCAGGTCATGATCCCGGAGTCCTGGGATCGAGTCCCGCATCGGGCTCCCAGCTCCACGGGGAGTCTGCTTCTCCCTCCGACCTTCTCCTCGCTCATGCTCTCTCTCACTGCCTCTCTCTCAATAAATAAATAAAATATTAAAAAAAAAAAAGTATTGTACTAATGCCCGTAGGGTATCCCCCGGCAGGCCAGCCAGCCCGCAGGTCCCCCTTTTATTATGTCAACTGGGGAATGGCCCTGACTCACACTGGGTTGGCTCAGCTTCTAGGCGCTAGGTTGCCTGGGTACCAGAAGCTACCTGTCCTTTAAAAATACCTAGCTAGGAGCCAATACATGCTTACATTTCAAGTGAAATGTGGGTGCCTCTATTCCAATCACAGCAAATCTTCCATTTTTATATTTCAGGCTCACAGGCTGCAACTTACTTTAGGAAACAGTTGGGCTGCCCCTAAAGAAGGTCTATAGCCAGATGCTCTTTGTTTGTGGGAGCCCCAAGGCCTAGGAAAGATGGTAGCTGGGATCCCTTAATAATATGTGTGACCAGGGAAGATTTCTTCTAGGAACCCAAGGATGGTTTAACCTTGCAGTTAAAGGCTACTAATGAAATACATTGCAACAGATCAAAAGAATAACCCTGTGGTCTCCTGGGTGGCTCAGTCGGTTAAGCGTCTGCCTTTGACTCAGGTCATGATCCCAGGGTCCTTGGATCCGGTCGCATGTCGGGCTTCCTGCCCAGCGGGGAGCCTGCTTCTCCCTCTCCCTCTGCCTGCCATTCCCCCTGCTTGTGTTCTCACTCTCTGTCAAATAAATAAATGTTGAAAAAAAAAAAAGAATAACCATAAAGTAACCATCCATTCCTGATCAAAAAGTTTGGTCAAAAAGTTATGGGAGGCTATTTTTTTTTTTATTGCGGTGAAATAGACATGACATGAAATTTACCATCGTAACCATGTTTAAGTATACAGTAGTTCAATAGTGTTATATATATTCACATCAATGTGTAGCCAGTACCACCATCCATCCCTGTAACTCTTTTGATCTTGTAAAACTGAAATTCTAGGGGTGCTGGGGTGACTCAGGAGGGTTAAGTGCTCAACTCTTGGTTTTGGTTCAGGTCATGACCTTAGGGTCGTGAGATCGAGCTTATACTCCCTCATGCACACGTTTTCTCTCTCTCTCTCTCTCTCTCTTAAAGAAGTGAATCAGTTTTTAAAAGAGAAACACTGAAACTGTACACCCATTAATGCCACATTTCTTCCGTCTCCACCGTCCACCAGCCCCTGGCAAACACCATTATAATTTCTGTCTTTATGACTTGGACTACTCTAAGTACCTCATGGAAATGGAATCACACAGCGTTTGTCTTTTCGTGACTGGCTTCTTTCACTCAGCGTGGTGTCCGGAAGGTTCATTCATGTTATAGCATGTGTCAGAATTCCCTTCCTTTTACAGTTGAATAATAATCGTGTAAAGAATATCTCACACCAAGGGCTGAAATTACATGAGAGTAAAAGATCTATCCATTACGATCAGGTAGAAAAGTTAGAGATGCTTGCTACTTACTGTTCTGTTCTGGAAATTCCAGCCAATCTAGTTCTATAAGAAAAGGAAATAAATGGTATAAAGGTTGAAAAAAGAAGCTAAAGTTACCTTTTATTTACAAATAGCATGGCTTTCTATGCAGGCTCCAACGTGCTTTGAAGTAAGAGTATACTATACATTCAAAAGTTAGCTGTTTTTCCAGCTCTGTCTTTTATTTGCGATCTCGATCCCACCTTCTGGCCTACTCGCCAGCTTTGTTCCTGGATTTTTCCTTCTCATCAATTTTTTCCTGATCTGGATTATTCCCAACAGCATATGTTAAAGTATCTCCCATCTATAAAATATCCACCCCCTGACCTCATCTTTAAAATATCCTCTCTCTGACCTCATCCTGTTTTTTTCTAGCTACAGTCCTGTGCTCTGCTCCCTTTACAGCAAAACTCTAAGGGAAAGTCTCTGTAGTCACCACCTTAGCCTCTTATCTGCCATTTTCTTTTTCCCTGTACAACCTTTCCTCTAATTATTGTCCTCTGCTAGGTGTCTTGTGTTGGCAAGCAGACTCGAGTCTGTCTGGTCCCCCTCCCACTCCAGGTGTGTGTCCTGGACAGAGCAGCACCCACCCAGTCCCTCCCTCTTCCATTCCCTCAGTCTTTCATCCTTGCATCACTGACTTCTTGACCGGTCAAGGTCGTGAATGACGTTGGTTGCCATATCCGCTGGTCAGTTCTCTGTCCTATGTCCATCATACTCAATGTCTCAGCGGCATTTGACACAGGAGTCTAATCTCTCCGCCCCAAAACATTTCTACCACCTGCCTTTTGGGACACCAGAGTCTTCCTGTCTTCCTCCTCTGTCACTTGTCATTCCTTCTCAGTCTTTTGTGGGTGGCCCCTGTATCTGCCCGGGAGTGCCTTTCCATCTGTAGCCGTGTCCTATCCTTGGAGAACCTCATGCAGGCCCGTGACCCCTGAGAGCATGCAGGCAGTGATGATTTCCGATTTATATCCCGCTCTGTCTCCTATCAGGGGTTTGTGCTCAAATGCCATTTCTTCAAAGATGCCTTCCCTGATCCCTCTCTAAAGTAGGTACCACTACCCCCCTCAGCATGCCTTTGCTCTTACCCTGCTCTTTTTTCTTTTATTCAAGTATCTGAAATTATTGTTCTAGTCTTGTTTGTTTTGTTGCGTATCTCTCGCACTAGAATAGAAGCTCTGTGAAGGCAGTGACTTCATCTGCCTTGTTCTTTCTTGCATCTTTTGTGCGGAGTTAAGGAAGGAAGTTAGTAAGTGCCAGTTAGTATCTGTTGAGTGCATTTTAGCACTCAGCAGTCACAAAAAAATACGGGGAAGAAACACTGTGCTTACAATAGTGAGACATGAAATGCCTAAAGATCAATGAGTAAAAGATAAGCAACAAAAACAAGGCTTCATTTCTTCCTGTCAAATTAAAAAAAAAAACAAAAACCAACAACAAAAAACTAACACTGGTGAGAATACTGAGGAATGGACTCTCTCATTGACCGCTGGTGGAAATGTGAAGCTGTCCCAGCTTTCATTAGTGGTGAGTCATGGCTGATTTTTATCTTAACTTTTATGGTTTGCTACATTTCTCATTTTTTCCAATCATTACTTTTCTTTCCCAGTAATTACTTTTTAAACCAGAGAAGTCACTTCATCTTCCTCCCTGCCCCCTTTCAAGCTTATTAACCTGGCTGGATCCTCGCACTCGCGGACTTTCGGAGCTAAGCCCGGCAACGGGATGGTCTTGTTCTGTCATTGAACTTCTTCTTCTAAAAATGTAGTTGTTGCAGCTTCTATCAGGTTTCTCTGGAACGATGCAGCTCTGGGCAGTGCAAACGACGTGCAGAGTGGCTCTTGCTCGAAGGGCTGGTTCGGGAGCCCACTGCGAAGGCGGGGCCCAGCCAGTTGGAGGTGGGGTCCCACAGCCTTTCCTGCCAAGACTCAGGTCTCCACAGACAGGGGAAGCCCTCACACTTCTCGGTACATACCCCGCCCGACTCCCTCCCTGCTCGGGATTGAATTGAAAACAGTAATCTGCTCTGTGCAGCCGGACTGCTGGTGCCTGCTTCCCTTGGACACATCCGTGCCCCATTCTGCCAATGCCCAGGCGGCCGGCCCCCCTGCCTGGGCCCCCGGCCCCCGGAAGGGAGGCTGCAGCTAAATCACCAGTGGGCCATTCTTGCGTTTCCCCTGGTTTCTTTCTTCTCTGGAGCCACCTTGGTAGTTGGACATTTTGTGTAATTATGTCGCTCTCTGGGCTTGGCAGTCAAGTTCCAGAGCGCCCAGTGGCCCACCTGAATGGTGTTCACCCCAATGGCTGGGAGCACAGGAAGGGAGCCGGCCCCCACTCAGCTCCGTGTCCTGGGCTGTTGGCACAGCCATCCTCAAGAGCCTGCCAGTAGACTGTGGGTTGTTTTAAGTGGCACCGAGAACTGAGGGCTGGGGCTGGCTCAGGATGCTGCTTCCCCTGTGTTTGTGGGTGAGTGGCACACACGGCCACTGCCAGTGTTCCAGGTGCGGGACCCCGGTGGAGTGGGGAGAGGGCCAGACTCTGGCTACTTGGTCTTCAGTTGAATACCCTTGTCCCCTCTCCTTTGGGGCTCAGGGGGCACAGCAGAGCCGGGGAAGCAGGGGAGCGCCTGCCTGCTCAGAGGGTTGAGAGGCACCGACAAAAAGCCTCCCTTCCTGCCTGAGTGGGACTCAGATGCCCCTGCCCTGCCCCAGAGGAGCCCATGAGCCCATGGGCCTGCAGCTTCGCTTGTTGGTTGATCTGTACTCCAGTGTGTTCCGGTTCGTTCACCGCTCGGGCCCGAAGCGCAGAAAGGACGCTGTAATTCATGTGGCTTGGACTTAACCACCTGTTTCACTGTTCTTCTTACAGCTTAAACTTTGGAACAAATACCGCATTTCCAACATTCCCTCACTAATATTCCTAGACGCCACCACCGGGAAGGTCGTGTGCAGGAATGGGCTGCTGGTGATCCGTGATGACCCAGAAGGTAGGACCTTGACGTGGCCATCCTGGACTCCCCGCTCCGTCCCCCTACCCTGACCGTCCCCAGTGGCAGAGAACATGCAGATGAAATGTCTATGAGCGGGTTTACTCAGCAAGAGCATATGGCCATGAGGAAGTTACAGTATTCTCCAGGTCACGGTTAAGATTTTTAAAGAGATCAGAATGTCCCTGCTGGGGGCTTTAATTCATGGGCCAAAGGAGATGGAATCAGAAAAGGGAAGTTCGGTTTTGAGGGCTGAGTGAGAAGCCATGAGAGCCGGGAGACAGAGTTCGGTGCTGTGTCCATAGTAACTGTCACCTTAACAATTAGAGGCGGACTCGAAGGTTGTGAGCTTTTTGTCTTTTTAAACTCTCACCATCGCAAAGTCACAGTCTCTGTGTCGCTCTCGTGGGCCCAGAGGTGACTGACCTCATTTCTTGGTACTGCCCAAGTCCCACAGCCTTGGCCTTGCTGACTGGCCGGGTGAGCGGCCGAGTGCTTACTTATCACTGTCCTGCTCACCGGCTGTCCGAGCTCTGGTTCTCTCCTTGCCGCACTGGAGCCCTCAAGTGTCGTGAGGTCTTCCCTTCCTCACTTCCTGATCAGGGGATTCAACCCTGGTCATGGATTCTCCTGGTAAAAATTTCACCTGCTTCAAAGAACAGCCCTCAGTTAAAACCCAGGCCTGGTAGAACCCAGTCTTCACTTTCTCAGATCACACACACACACAGACACACAGACACACGCGCGCGCGCACACACGCGCGCGCGCACTCTCTCTCTACTCTGAGCTGGTTAAAAATGCAGAGTTCCCAGCCCCACCTCCAGAGATGTTGGGGTCCCTTTGTTTCGGGGTGGGCTTGGCCACTTGCATTTTTAACCGGTTTGTGCTTCTCCCATCCCCCCCACCCGAGGCAATTTCTGAGGCAGTGGTCCGCGGACCACCCCGTGAGAAAACACTGTTCTGTTGCTCTTCTGCCTGGGGCTTACGTGTCATCAGAATGTAGAACATCTGGGTTGAGTGAGTTTTACTCTTTCCTTTGACTGGATTTAATTCTCACTGGGTTCCCCGGGCCCCAGCCCAGACCAACCGTATCAGAATCTCTGGGGGTGGGCCCCAGGAGCATCGTATTTTAAAACTCCCCGCCTGATTCTAAAACGCCGTCAGAGTTGGGAGCCACTGAGGTTCCAGGGCTGGTCTTGAGGACACTCCACGAGGCAGTGATTCCCCAGCCTGGCCCAGCATCAGACTTACTGGGGAGTCTCTTTGGCTTTGTTTTGGACATACTTCTTCAGCCTTAGCCCCAGATCCCAAGACTCGGAGCAGGACTCAGGCTTCCATAACTTTCCAACCCCCCACCCCACCCAGTAGACGGGCCCTGTGATCACCTGGGTTCAGGAACCACTGTCTCGGAGGTAGGTAGGGCTCTGCCACGAATGGATTCCACCTGTGTCCCTGTGTTTTAGGCCCAGAGTCTATGCTTGTGTTTACAAGTACTGTTTGATGGTAACGCTGTCGGGCCGTGCCTCTCTGAGGTCTCCTAGACCAGAGGCGGTAAAGAAGAATCTTAACAACGTTCTCACCATCTGTTGCCTGTTTTCAGGTTTGGAATTCCCTTGGGGACCTAAACCCTTCAGGGAAGTCATTGCAGGGCCCTTGCTTAGAAATAACGGACAGTCCCTGGAGAGCAGCAGCCTGGAGGGTTCTCACGTGGGAGTCTATTTCTCCGCACACTGGGTGAGTGTTCAGTCCAGACGGAAGGGAGCGGGGATGTTGCCACCAGGGCCCATTGTGGTGGGCTCTTGGAGGTATTACTGCTCGGGCAGGTCTCCCCAGTGTTCTTACTTCCTCCGGCACCTGACGCATTGTTGGCATGCTACGGGCGCTTATTATTATGAATGATGATGGCAGCAAGAAGATGACTTCTTTTGACTGGTCTGAAAGGATAGTCTTCCTGCCCCGTTCTGATGAGGCTTCCAGCAGTCCCTATGGGGGGTTTGTTTGAACTGCTGCCCCCTGGCATGCCCCGTGTGGGGGGGGAGGCGCCTATGTTTGTTTCTGTCCCTTGAATAAGCTGGGTTTTGCTCTCCCAGTCCTACTTGGTTCCTGCTTACCCGGTCTCTCTTGGCAAGTGGCTGGGAAATGGGAAGGCCAGACCCAGCGTCAGGCTGCGGGATCCCCCTTTCCTCTTGCAGTGCCCACCCTGCCGAAGCCTCACCCGGGTCCTGGTGGAATCCTACCGGAAGATCAAGGAGGCAGGCCAGAAATTTGAGATCATCTTTGTTAGTGCGGACAGGTAACGTGCGCTGGGGCAAGTGGCCATGTGGTTCCCTTTTCCAGAGGTGGTTAACATGCGTTTCTCTGGCCTTACCATCTCACCTCCCGAGGGTAGAGTGTGGAGATGGGGGTTGGGGAAGGCTTATGTGGGATGATTGGCAAACGGAGAGATATGTTTCAGATTTCCTCGCACAACTGTCTGAAGGGGAGCTGAGAAAAACCTGTCCTTGCTGTAAATATTTGGGCCTGTTCCCTTCCAGCCTGGGTCATTAGAGATCAGGATTTTCTGATATGTTCAGCGTTTTGGATTACGATGAAAGGGCTTGGAAGGGAAGGATGGGAAGGAAAGAGCCAGAGGCTCATGGAATTTGACACCTGTCTGGGATGGCTGTGCCATAATTTCCCCTCACTCTGGCCACGTGTTCGGCCTTGGGACTGTCCTAAAGACAATAAGGGTGAAGTCTACTCCTGGAGCATGTCAGGTCCTTTTCACTGCGACTTCATCTGCTTCAGGCCCTCTTGTTGGTTTTACTCATCAGTGACCCTCCTTCGTCACAAAACCCCAGCTCCCATTCAGACCGAGCCACCAGGTGCTCCTGCTTCTTAAGTCCCTGTTCACAGAACATTCTCCAGGATGCCAGCACACTGAGGGCCTTCTGTCTCTTTGTTTTTGTTTTTTAAAGATTTTATTTATTTATTTGGCAGAGACAAAGATCACAAGTAGGCAGAGAGGTAGGCAGAGAGAGAGAGAGGGGGAAGCAGGCTCCCCGCTGAGCAGAGAGCCTGATGCGGGGCTCGATCCCACGACCCTGAGATCATGACCCAAGTCGAAGGCAATGGCTCAACCCACTGAGCCACCCAGGCGCCCCCACTTCTGTCTCTTTGAAGTCTGCACTGTGCCGTGCTCCATCCCCACATCCCCATCTCTGCATGGGACTGGGGATTAGATTTGAAGGCATAACCCATGGAGCAGTCGCTTTTTTAAAGCTTAAAAAAAAAAACAAAGAAAACTTTATTGAAGTATCACTTACGTACAATTCAATGATTGTTGACCAGTGTATGTACCCTTGTAATCAGTATAGACATTTCCATCATCACAAGGTGCCTTCTCAGTCCGCCCCTCAAACCCCGGCCCCGGGGAGCCCCTCATCTGCTTCCTATCACTGTGGTTAGGTCTGTCATTCCTAGAGTTTTTTTTAATACATGGAATCCCGGGCTTCCGCCGGGTTAAGAGTGTGCTTACACACTGTCATCCGCACAGACTAGAAGTGCCATGGGAGCGCAGTGTCCGTGGACACCTAGGCTGCTTATAAAAGTGCTACCTATCTCTGCTGATAAATGAGAAGTTGGGCCGGAGTTCAACTGCTAGGACCCAGGGAGCGGGCTGCTTGCAATGGCCTAGTTCACATCTGCCTGTTGTGTGCAGGCTGTCGCTTCTCCGTGTACACCAGAGGGGGTAGAATAGTCCATTGCCCCCCCCACCCCGTAATCTGGTATCCGAGGAGCACAATAGGGACGCCAAACCTGTGGAGCCCCAGCCGTAGCTTGGTAGAAGGCGGGGAGGACCCTGCGGTGGTGCTTTTGGGGATAACAGAGCCTTGCTTCCATGTGTGTCTCTGTAGGTCCGAGGACTCGTTCAAACAGTACTTCAGTGAGATGCCCTGGCTCGCTGTGCCCTACACCGACGAGGCCCGGCGGTCACGCCTTAACCGGCTGTACGGAATCCAAGGTAGGCCTTCCTGACTCCATGGGGCTCCCCGAAGACTTGCTGGACTGGCTCACCACATCTTTGGCTTTTCTTTTAGAGGGAAAAGGACATCTTTATTTCCGTAACTGTTCGTGTTCCTGGCTGTCTTAAAAATTACATGCTGTGAGTTCTACGGTGTGTAAATTATACCCCATTAAAGCCATTTTTTTTTTTTTTTAAGTATTTGTCCAGGTGGAACAGCCCCTTCTCAGCGCCTGACCTCGTGTGCTCTGATGCAGTTGGGCTGTGGAGCCCTCAGTCCCAAATGACGTGGGCAGAACCCTATCCTAAGGGTACCTGTCAGACGGACCTAGGAATGGTCTTTGGTTCCATCAGTGAGACTCTGAGTCTCCGTTTCCTCATCGCTTATTATCATGATCTGAGCCTCAGTTTCCTTATCCACAAAGTGGGCCTGATAAATCCCTGCCGCGAGGAGTTTCTGGGAGCATTCTTAGGGTAAGGGATCGAGAGCATTTCCTCGTTCCTGAGGCACAGTAGTGAGGGCTGAGTGGCTGGGACTTGTAGGTGAGAAAACTCATTTCCTGAGAGCGTTGAAAACTAGGACTTAAAGTACTAATCATGTGTGTTTTCTGGGAATAATGGTTATTAAGTGAGGCAAACGGTGTTTTTATTCTCTATTATGTGACTATCTTCTTCCCAGCCTTCACCCAGCTGGCTTTTCTCTTGATAAAGCACTTAACTGACCTATTAAGAATTAAATGCATTCTTCTATGTCAATTATATCTCAATTTTTAAAAAAGGATTAAACTCATTTCCTTGGTAGCCATAGTACCAAGTCCCGGTCAGCCCTAGGCAAACACGGCTAATATTTGAGTTCTCAGTGCTTCTTGTGTTATAGGGAGTAGGAGGGGGAAGAAAAAAGGCAAAGCAAAATTTAGCCACAAATTCCACAGCTTAGAGGGGACTCATAAGGTTCTTTGAGCTTTTTCTTTACCATTTAGAGAAAGCATATGGCTTTGTTTGGAGCTAAGCTTTAAAAAAAATGAACAGTTAATTTTAAGTCAATGCTTCTCCATTCCAAACGCACGTAAGAGGCCTCTAGGGAGCTTGTGAAAAGGCAGATTCAGATTCCCTGGGTCTGGCTACGAGTGGGGCTGAGATCCTGCCTCTCTAGCAAGCCCCCAAGTGACACTGATGCGGGTGGCCCAGGGACCACACTTTGGGTATTGATAAGCTAGGTCTTGTTGAAGTTAACCCTTCAGGATTGTGGAGGCTCATGCCTCCTTTTTAAAAAATGAAATCAGTTCCCTTCCCAAACAAAAGCTTAGTGACAGATAGGAATTGTTTACTGGTCCAGAAGGAAGGGTACCGGGTTGAGTCACTTAAAGAAGATATCACAGGCTTCTTTCCTTCTTGCACTCTGTTTGCACAGAGACTTAAATCGCGCGGGCCTTGGTGTAGGAGCAGCATCTGTCGAGAGGAGTATCAGAAATGACCTTTGGCTGCTGGTACTGAACAGAGGGTTAAATTGCCCCTTTGTGAGGATAAGTGAAATTTCAGGTCTCTGAATTCTTTCATTCATCCGACAAGTTATTTACTGAGAGCTGGCTAGAGGAGGTCTGTTGAGAGCTGGCTAGAGGAGGTCTATTCTTCCTGGCCTGGGAGACACAGTCTTGAGTAAAAACAGACCCCATCCCTACCCCCAGGGTGCTTACAGTCCTAGACGGGAGGCTCATACCCCATCAGTCAATTGTACAAATAAATCTAAGTGCGATTGTGAGTGCTCGGAAGGAAGGTGTCCCCAGTGCCAGCAGGGCCTGTAACAGGGCATCTGGATTGGCTGGGAAGCTAAGAATGTTATGTTCAAACGGAGATCTGGAAACCGTAGGAGTTTGAAATGTAAAATGGAGAGAAAGGATGTTATCAGCAGAAGACACAGAGGCCCTGCCAGTGTAGGGCTACTGGGAAAGAGCCAGGGCAAGGGTCCTCTGCAATCAGAGTATGACAGGGAAGGTCAGGGCTGGAGGGTTTTGAATGTTTTCCTTGGTCCCCTTGTTCACTTAAAAAACACACCTTAGTCCTAGGATTCAGATCTTCACCCCAGCGGTAACTCTGTGTGTCGCTTAAAGGAAATGTAACTGTCTTACTTTTTTTTCTAAGATTTTATTTATCTACTTGTCAGAGAGAGAGAGAGCGCACGAGCACAAGTAGGAGGAGAAGCAGCAGGTGGAAGAAGCAGCAGGCGGAAGGAGAAGCGGACTCCCTAGTGAGCAAGGCCCCCCTTTGCAGGGCTCGATCCCAGGACCCTGGGACCATGACTGGAGCCAAAGGCAGATGCGTAACCCACTGAGCCACCCAGGCATCCCATCACAATCTTATTATAACTGCATAGTGGGAAAGGGAAAGGGGTGCAGTCAGCCAGTGTGAATGTCCCTCACCCTCAGTCCCTGGGATGTGACTAGACGTTCTTGGAGGGGCTTTAGGTGAGACCTACTGGTAGGCTGGGTAGTTCCAGATCTTTCCTTAGTGATACCTAGATTTTGCTGCCCTTCAGTGCCCATGTTTACATGCAGCTGTGCCCTGCTTCTTCTGAGGACCATAGATTTCTCATCTTGGTCCTTGCAGCAATACAGAGATATTCCTGAGTTTTCTCTATTCTCTATTCCCCGTATACACCAGCAGGCGTCTTTGATGTGTGTCTTCCTCTGACTCCCCAACAAAGGCCCTTCAGTCATGTTCTGGCTTCTCCTGCCTCCTCTCTTCCAGCTTCTGTACATGTCTGTGCGCGTGCGTGTATTCACACACAAATGTGCACAAAACGTGACTCTGCGACACGCTTGGGCCGTGGCGCATACCCTCACAGATGACTGCGAGGCATCTTAGAGGTACATACCAAAAAGAATCTCAACTCTCCTACATCTGCCAGGCCTGGGGCCTCTTTGATCTTTGCCTGGGGCATTGTTTCCCGTTTCTTATATTATTCCACTTTCACTGATACCACCTCTCCTGTCTAGGCCACCAACAACTCAGCCTTGTCTCTACCTTCCGCTGAGTGACCTTGAACTAGTTCCTTATCCTCAGTAAAATTGAGAGGCTTCAGCGTTGGGCCTTAATAAATACTTAACAGATTAACTTGAAGGAAAGGGGGTAAATTTCCTTTACAATAGAAAAGGTAACTTTTGGATGTCAAAAAGCTTAAACAAAGGCAACCAACAATATTAATAACATGTATGGCAAATCATCAATACCTTTTGTAGAAAAAGAGATCTCCTTAGAAAAAAAGAGAGAATTGGGCACCTGGGTGGCTCAGTGGGTTAAGTCTCTGCCTTTGGCTCTGGTCATGAACCCAGGAGCCCTGCATCAGGCTCCCTGCTCACCGGGAAGTCTGCTTCTCGCTCTCCCTCTGCTTCTCCCCCTGCTTGGGCGCGCATGCTCTCTCTCTCTCTCTCTCTCTGTCTCTGTCAAATGAATAAATAAAAGCTTTAAAAAAGAGAGAGAATTTAGTAAAAACTATGTATAGGGTATGAGGCAGGCAGTTCATCCAGGGTGTTGGTACGATAGGATCATATCATTTTCATATGACGTGAGAAACATTCAGCATAATTTACTTCCGTGATTTACAGATGAAAACACTGAATTTTTATCTATCTCATTTGCAAAGATCTCCCAGCACCCCCATCCCCGATCCCCACTAAAAGAGAATCCCTTGTGTAGGGAAGAGAGCGGACTGCTAGTAGAAATGCAAATCAGGACAATCTTTCAGGAGAACAATTGGCAATATACATCAAAGGCCTTTAAAAATCTACAAAACCTTTAATTTAGAAATCCCACTTGTAGGAATTTATGCTCAGGAAATTATCCTATAGTGCCCGGCAGAAGCTGAACTTCTCTTGAGCAAGTGGTGGATTTTTGTTTTTAGTTTTTTTCCTTCATCTTTTGTGTATGTTGAATTTCATTATGGACCACATTTTTTTTTCCCCTTTAATCCCTAGAAAACCCAGAGTTGAATTTGTTAACCACCTTTAGCAACTTTGCAAAACTCACCTTTTTTGTTGCATGCCCTTGACCCTATTAGCTTCATTTACTCTTCCTGTTTTCCCTTCAGGAGGATATTTTCATCTGTTTTTATTGGCTTATATCACATACTTTTTAAGCAACCTCCAATCCTTTTTGGAAGAAAGGCAGAGTAGGTTTAAATGCATGGGAATCTATTTCTTGAACTCCCGCTAACCACCAAGCCTATGCACTGAGCTCCGTGGGAAATAGGAAACCAGAAGACTAGCCCGGTGCTGCCCTTGAGTGGACAGGAGGAGACTTACATTGGGGGAGAATCTCAAGAGCAGAGTATGATGATATCTTGAGGAACTAGAAAGTGTTGGTCCAGTAAGTGCCATTTTGTATGAAGGCTTAGAGGACTGCCACTTGCCCCGGCCACCACAAGGCCACTCCATGCAGAGACACATTCTTTCCCAGCCCGTGCCATCAATGAGCGGAATCTTTCCTCCCCGAGGTAGAGCCCTTTTCTGGATGGGGGAGGTGGGGGGCGGGACGCAGGTGTTCCTGGCGGTCAGTGCGAAGGCTGTGGAATCACTTGAAACTAACAATTACCAAAAGATGGTCTATATCATGCATAGTCACTTAGGGTGGCAGTCTGTGCCCTCTCTCTCTGCTCCGTGAGATGCCTCTGGGGACCCTGGGGAAGTGCGGCAAGGGTTGGTACAGAACAGCAGTCTCAAAAGGAGAGATCACAAGCTGCACTGTTCAAGGGCACCCTGCAAACTGTTGGGCAGGGCACAGAAGAATTAAATGGATCACGTTCTGCCTGCCTTCGGCCAGCGGAGAAGGGAACACTCAGATTCCGCAGCTGCCAACCTATAAATATTACAGACGTAGGAGCCGCGGTTGTTAGGTGTGGCCCGGGCAGCCGGACAGTGGCTGCCCACGACCGAGGAGGAGGAGAATGGGGACTTCTTGGAGACACGTTGATCCGGCACCAACTCTTAAGGCCCTGGCAGTGTGGG